GCAAGCTTTTTCGGAGTTTCAAAGAGTCCTTCAGGTTGCTGAGTTATGGTAACTTCCAAATCTAAAGGATGAACCATGATTTCAGCTGTGTTTGGATGCTGAGTGTGACCCTGTGTCACTTGAGAATGCATTGGAAGACGAACTGTTGTCTCACTGAGAGTTGTAGGATGATAAGCTTCTCTAGTAGGCTCTGAAGTTATAGTGAGCTCCACGTCTAAGGGCTGATACCGTGTTGTTAGATACTCATCTTGCCTCTGAATTGGAGCTGGAACCATGCCCTTCTCATATTCTAGAGTTTGAGCTACAACCTTTTTAGGTGATTTTCTAAACTCATCTGGGCTCAGCGGCACATTGTGACCTGAACTATGAGCTGTAGTCTGCTCTGGAATTGGAAAATAGAGAGTCCCTGTAGGAGGCTGAGAAGATACAGTAAGTTCCTCATCCAGAGACTGAAATGAGATCCTGGGTAGTGTTGGATACTCAGTTTGACCCCGAACTGGTATTGGAACTGTCACCTCTCGAAATTCTGGGGCCTGAGCTACATCCTCTTTAGGTGGTTTGATGATATGAGTTGTACTCAATTTCATACTTTGAGAAAGTTCTCCATCATTAATATTTTGATAAGTTACCGTAAGTTCTTGATGCAAACGTTGAATGGTGACTTCAGTCATATGGGCATGCTTATTATCGACAGGCTCTGGATATATTGCCAGAGGGTACTCTGGAGTAGGAACTATAGTCTCCTCTGGAATTGTACGATGGTGAGACTCTGGAGTAGACTCTGAAGTTATGGTGAGTTCCAGATCCAAGGGCTGAGATGTGACACTGGGTGAAACTGGATACTCGGCTCGATCCTGACCTGGTGTTGGAACTGTCAACTCCTGATAAACTGGGGCTAAAGCTTCAACCTCTTTAGGTGGTTCTATAGTTTGAGTTGTGGTCTCTTGCATGTTTTGAGAAAATTCTCCCTCAGCAGTAAGTTGTGGAGCTACAGTAAGTTCCAGATCCAAAGGGTGAACTGTGACTTCAGTTGGGTTTGTATGCTGAGTGTGAACCTGTT